GGTCCCGACAGAGCTAATGTAGTAGCCCCCGATAAGATCTTACTGATGTAGGAGTCAAAACTTCAAACGCGAATTGCGGGTAAACGGGACGTCGGAAGTGGGTACCGACAAAGGGAACGGTAGCCCCCGACAAAATCTTATTAATGATGGAGTAACACAAAAATGCGCTGAAGTCCCTTCGATCTCACACGAGAACTTTGTTAAACACCTTACGCCATATATTTGGGTTTGGCATCAAACGCGTAGGTAGTAGGGTCTCCCCTGACTGCTGCTAATAGGGTGTTCTCATCTAATAAAATTTGACCTTGTTGTAACGTTAGATCTTTCAGTAAATATTGAACAAATTTAATTATATTTATTTATATAACAATGTGTACAACAATTCCAAACCGATTAACAAAAGTTTACTAGTTATTTTTATAATTGATATTACATAATGATCGAATCTATTAATACCGCCCTTTGAGACTTGAAGACTGAATCTAAAAGTTAACTTAGTAGTTCATGATTTTACTGTCTTAGAAAATCTCGAATTGTTTTTAATCCGTGCTTATACGTGCACTAAGGACCTAAGTAAAGTGATCCGTGTGGAAAGCAACCGTTTTTTATCATCCGCACGTTTGTAAGCGAGGTATTGCATTGAAGTAACAATGGCATCCCACTTTTTTGACGGAAATACACGTTTCGAAGCACCAGGAATCCGAATCATACAAAATCTCGATGATGTCGATCGGTTTGGCGGTCTGTACTCTTATTTCCGGCTAAACGGCTGAACCGATTTAAACCAAATTTGGTACACATATTCTTACAGATAAAATGGCAGAATTGCTCATGCGCATTTCTTTTTGATTTTGTATGTTTTCATAAAATTATTGACATCTCTTACTAAAAATTTTAATCCCAAGATACAAATCTTAACAGGTCACAAAGATGATGGTATATTTGATGGATGGAATCTTTGAATTAGATTAGACCATTAATTAAATATTAAACTGTCAAAGAATTTCCAGGTTACCTCCACGTTGTTTGCGCCAATGATGTTGATTTTTCTTACTGACTCGTACATTTGTAGGTGCTTTGATTACTGATAAAACGAAACTCACTTCCATATCTATGCTCATTAGTTGTTCCATAACACAAAAAGCAATGCAACCAAACCAGGAACCAAACGAAATCAAGTTCAGGTATAGAGGATACTCTCCTTCACTTTTGCCAAGTTTTCCTGAAGCTTTTTCAAATTCTCAAATTCCGTTCATGTTATCTTCAAGTCTACCTTAATTTTTTTTATGCCTGAAGTTTCTCTTAAACTTTCTGGAAACTGCTATTAAATTTTTCTTCACGCTCCTCTCACTATTTACGGTCACTTCTCAATTTCTTCAAAGTTCTTCCAATTTACCTCCAAGTTCCAATAAAATTTGCTCTCTAGTTCCCCTCAAGCTTCTCCAATTTCTTCATAAGTGTCTAAAACCTTTATGTAGCTTCCATTAAATTCTTCTCAAGTTATTTTCAAATGTTTTGGAACTATGTTGCCTTCGGATTAATGTCAAGTTTTCCTCAAGCTACCTCTTAAATTATTCAAACTCGATTTCTTGTAAGGCGTCTTTAAAGTGCCACCAATATCCATCTTCTCAAGTTCTTCTTAGGTTTTCAAATCCTTCGAAATATCCCTAAAATTGATTTTTCTTGTGTTCATTGGAAATTACTCTTGTCAAGTTCTTCTAGACATCTTCTATACTAGATCAGTAGCTGTTTCATCGTCCATACTTTCCGAATCGGCGATCATGAATAGAATTATTTGCCCAGTAATTCCATGTTCCATCATAGGGGAAGGGGGTATTTTCCGTAGGGTTGGGTAATAAAAGCAAACCACTTTTTTACATTGATGGAAAAGATTCTATCTGAAAGAAAAGGAATATTGAAATGGAAAAAAAGTATGACAGCTTGCTTCTAACAAAAATGTTTAATTGACAGTGCCTTTTGTGGTAGGACTACCCTTTTGCAGCACTGCGCCGCAAAGTAGATGTTTACTAAGTGGAAGATTAGGGGTTAGGGTTAGGCTGCGAAACTAAAATGTCTATATTCAAGCGTGCTTTATAAAAGTGAAGCAATAATAATAAATGCGTTAAAAATTGGTGCGATAAGCAATACAATTTATAATACATTGTGATCTTTCAATGTCACCAATAATTAGAGGCCCACATGAAAAAGAAACGAACAATTGTTAACTTTTTCAAACTACATCAATTAGAAAATTTTTTAGCGAACCCATTGTCTAAAACCACTGATTCAAAGTTTAAAACTGTAATTGCGAAACCAAATAAGCGTTTGTTTTTTTAGGAACTGCCGAAAACGATCACGGCGAAACTTGGTACATGATCTACAAAATTTTCCTGCTGGTTTGGATAATCTCGGGCCTTGGCTATCTGTGTATGGTAATGGGATTCGTGGCGCGCGGTATGCGAAGTAAAAAGATGTGCGCAATTGAACACAAGCTAGCGATAAATATTAAAAGAACCAATCATAAAATACGAGACGAACTCAGATCGATTGTTAACGAGTATTTGTTATTGCGAGTGAAGCGGGTCTACAGAGAGAAGTTTATATACGTTCCGAACAAACCGCAACGTAGCCAAAGTTGTCCAAATTTAACAATTCACTCGGCTCCAGAATCCCCTACGATCTCTAGGAAGCGAGCATTTTCCACGTGCGCGGAATATGATGGCGAAATAAGTAGAATTCAGTCCGATTCTGATCTGGAACGCATTGACAAAGAACAAACGTTTAATCCCTCAAATGCTGTTTTGGAACCAGGCCAATTACTTTTACGAGTGGCTAACGCCTTAGGGAATATGGATACAGAGACTGACGATCGTAAGTCCATCGATGATCATTCTTACGTTGAAGGTATCAATCTATTTCCGTCAAAAGAAATTCTGGCCACCGAAAAGTATGTTTCAAATTGGTCTATTGGAAACGAAAGGATCAGTACCATGCCGGAAAAGGTTATGCGACCCAGAGCTGCTAGTGAGTGTAAAACGCCAGTTTTCAAAAGGCCTTCGACTGACCAGAACGATCTAACCTGGTACGGACCATCCGCAACGCAACGTTTGCAAGAACTTCGAGAACAAGTTAAATATAACCAAATTCGACACAAATCTCTACCACCTTTTACTCCATCCGCGAAACCACAAAGCCTATTCAGTCGATTAAAGAATTCGCTAAAACCCGCAAAAGAGAGCGATAAGAATGACGACATAGAAAGCCAAACCAAGCAAAAAGAGAAAGAGAGTGCTTTCGAAGAACCGTGTTACGCACCTGCGAGCAGGCGAGCGTCCATATTTTCCGTACAGCACGAACAGGTTCTGGAGGAAACCTCTATTGCCGATTTCCTCAGAGCTCTAACCGCTATCACTGTTCCCGAAGCTGCCTCGGAAACTGCTCCATTAACGCCATCAAGCCCGAATCGTCCACGGCGCCAGCCGATTCAAAGTCACGCAAGAAGGACGTCGTTAATGCCCATATCTGCACATCATCCGAGTCAACAGAGGCGATTTTCTCTACGGCCCGAGACGACTGAAAGCGAACCTCCACCGCCGTACTACCCCCCGGACTTTTCGAACCTTGTTGCGAAACGTGCCATCACCAGAAGTAGGAGATCTTCTTCGCTTCGACCGGGAAACGCAGCATCCAGTGCGACTTCGTTGCAAAGAAGCGTACTTAAACTGAAGTATCCTATTACGAAGGATATACGTGATACAGATGGTAAAAATTCGAGTAATGTATAGTCATTTTGGTATTATTGCACGCCGTACTCATTTATATGTGCCAAACATGTTGAATAATATTCGTCTGTGATTTAGTTGTAACCGTAGTTGGTAGGCGTATTTTGTAAATTTGTATGGAAAAAGTTGAGTAATTTTAGGTCGTTTTCGTTTTAATTTTAGCAATCGTACTGAATAATTTGCTTTCTATGTCATTTACAAACAATACTCATGACTGTAGGTAGAGTAGGTATACCTATGTATAACTGAAATAAAACCATATCGTATTTAATTGAAATTTGAAATTAAGTCCATTTGATGTAACTGAAAAATGGAAAAGAAAGGTAAGAGTTCAAAATATTTTTCGACAGAATTTATAGGCTTCGCACATTTAACCAAAATGGGATCAACCGGGAGAATATTTTTTGTTATACATTTTGGCCTTTAGAATTCAAAATGACCAGAATTTTTACAGTATGGGCAACAAAACTGATTTCCAAAGATAAAGCAGACATCACTTTTGATATAGTAGTCCGCGTCCCAAAGTCTAGATTCGAATGTCCGCGTTCTAATTTCGGCATTCTAATGTCCCCGTCCCAATGCCCGCGTGGCAATGTCTGCGTCTCAATGTCCACGTCCCAATGCCCACGTCCCAATGTTTGCATCCTAATGTCCTCATCCTAATGCCCTCATCTAAATATCTGCGTCCTAGTGTTCGCGTCCTAATGTCTGGGCATATTTCCTTTTTTGCGGTCTATTGTCTTGCGTCCTAATGACAGCGTTGTATTGTGTGTGTCCTAATGTCTGGCGAAAATGCAGGATTGAAACCGGAGGTCGTGCAGTTTAATAGTCCAGGCTATATATTATTTTTTGACAAAAAAAATTAGTTACCGGGCGAAACCGGGTTTTTCAGGCAGGTGAAATGAATAGAAATTGGGAAAAAATAATTAAAACAGTTGAATTTTTCCGCGGGTGAAATCACGTGGGTTGAAAGTGGTGTTTTGCAAATTGTGGCAAAACTATCAATTTTAGACGAAAATGTTCAATGTAAAAGTTATAGAGATTAAAAATGAGCTATCTACACTTTTTCACATAACCTCCAATTTTCCTAGAAAAACCGGAAAAACTGTTTTTTTCGTTTTTTATTCTTATTTTTGCGAAAAAAAGTCGTAGCGGTTTGAAATATGGAAAAAACATAGTCTGTTTTATGATAAAAGAGAAGATAATTTTTTGGGTCCTTAAAGTCGAACCGTTACCAAGATCTCACGATTTCTGAAAAAAACCACCTCTTTTTCAAGGGGATGAAAAATCTATTTTTTTTCATCGTACAGAAGTGCGCGGGGTAACAAAATTTTCGGGAAGACTTATATTTTAATAAACAAAATTAAAAAAATATCATTCCTACAGCCAAAATTCGAGAAAATCGCCAAAAACTGGAAATACAATTTTAAGATACACACGGTTTTTGACATGATAAATCAACATGTTGGATGTTAATGAAGATTTTTTTCGAAATCTGTCTTCTTGCTTCTTTAATGTTTGCTTGTTCTATACCTGATGCAATTGCGTTGGTCCTGTTGAAAACTTGCAAAATCTGCAATAAGAACATTAGTTCTACCGGCCATTGGCCAAAGCAAATGATTTGAGATGTAAAACCTGGAATAAACTTTATGAGGATTTTATTCATAATTCCTGTAAATTAACGATCAACAGGCCCAGCTTAAATCCATCAGCTGTAAAACAGGCAGGAAGAAGAGTTAGTGAACAAAAACAAATTGTTCAGGAAGCAAAAGAATTCGATTTTACTTCGAATTGCTTTTATTGCCGTAAAAATGCAGAAAAAAGAAATAATAAAGATGTTTTAACTAAAACAGTTGGGCACTAGGAAACAAAAGAAAATATTTTAGCAACATTAAAGAGGAGAGAGAAGACAGATTTCAAAAACTTTTTATTAGCGCGGATCGAATACGTTAATTTAGTTGGAAAATATGTCAAAAACCATGTATATCTTAAAATTGTTCCCACAGTTTTTGCCGCTTTTCTTAAAATTTTTATATACGAATAATATTTTTTATTTTTGATTATTAAAATGTAAGTTCTTATGAAAATTTTGCTACCCCGCGCACCTCTGTACGATGAAAAAAATAGATTTTTCATCCCCTTGAAAAAGAGGTGGATTTTTTCAGAAATCGTGAGATCTTGGAAACGGTTCGACTTTACGGGACCAAAAAATTATCTTCTTTTTTATCATAAAACAGGCTATGTTACCTCCAAATTTCAAACCCATACTACTTTTTTTTCGCAAAAATAGGAATAAAAATACCAAAAAACAGTTTTTCCGGTTTTTCTAGGAAAATTGGAGGTTATGTGAAAATAGTGTAGATACAAAAGTTGCCCATTTGTTTAATCTCTATAACTTTTATATTTAACATTTTCGTCTAAAATTAATAGTTTTGCCACAATTTGCAAAATACCACTTTCCACCCCTTTCAATCCCCGTGATTTCACCCGCGGAAAAATTCAGCTGTTTTAATTATTTTTTTCCCAATTTCTATTCATTTCACCTGCCTGAAAAACCCGGTTTCGCCCGGTAACTAACTTTTTTTGAAAATAAATTATTTTAGAGCTATTTAGCCTGGACTATAAGAAAAATATCAACGTGATAATCGATTGCGTCGCTTGACCTTACATTCTAAGGAACTAAAGGGCATTGTTGGACTGGCGAACTTGGACATTTCATTCCAACTATTCAGATAAGTATAATTAACCATAATTACTTGAATGGGTTACAGACAAAAACGGCCGATTAAGTTGAGATTACATCCGTTAGGTGTGCTCTTAAAAAACTTGAAGTCGGACACGGGTCCTATACTTTTCCAATGTCGAGGAAATGCGTAATTAATTAAAACCAGTTTTAATTTGTTCGAACGTGGACATTTTTGAGTTAATAATATTTTTCCAAATTTGGAACAAACTATTGATATGTATAAACCCAAAAATTACATTTTAAAGGTTTTTTCACATTATTACCATGAGTTGTTTGACAATGAGTCCTTATTCATTGTAGAGTGGGTATATGTATATCAGAAACATAAAGCGGTTTCAAAAAATGTTCAAAGTCATTTTAAAGATAGCAATGAACGACCCTTGGTATCTCATGCTCGTGCCACAGGCCAATAATTTCTTTAATTGACCCCCTCTTGTGAAAATGCGTTCAAAGGTTCTTAATAAAATTGTACCCACGTATGGGATTGTACCCACGTATGGGATGTACATTTAAAAGAGCGAATGAATTGGGACAAAAGTTTCTTTCGCACTGCTTCAACAAATGGCAGTAAAAAACTATTTTGACAGAAATGGTGCAGTAATATTACGTAATGAAAGTGTTTTGCCAAATGCAGATTATGGTTTTTGCACCCTGTTTTGTAGTTATTATAGCGTAAGTATTGAAAAATTTTTGAATACAGGAGGCAATCACTACCTTATAACTACTTCTGCCTAGACTTCTGCGGTTTTTTAATCATAATTTCTGCGCAGTCGTTTCGTTTTGCACAAAAGTGAATTCCATTAATATACAGTAACAATCGTAACATTACAGGAAATCTTGTTTCTACAGTCAACCGAAATATCTTTTTTTCAAATTTACAATTTAATATTGAAATTACTGTAATTTATTACCGAATTACAAAAAAAAGTATATATATCACAGGACTAAAGTACGTCCTAAATCCACGGGTGCTTTAACCCTTCGACTGCTTTTCTAATAAGTAGTTGCTCATAGTTCGAGAACTGCAGATTTTTCGCAAATCGGCGAACATACAATTATTCTGCTAGGCTTGGAAAGGTACGAAAGATTTAACAGGCGCGTAAAATGGTACGTGATATTTTTATTGCGAAAGTTGAAGTTACAAGGGAAAACTGTGCCGCCAATTTGACGAAATTATTGTCGGGTGTGCTTGTAAATTCATTGCGAGTTGCCATCACGAGTATTTACACGAACGAACATTTTTATTGTCCCGCATTATTTAATCAGCGTGATGATCGCGATGAATTTTTACCATGAAAGCGTTGTTGGTCAAAAGTACAGAACGTTTCGTTGCATTTATAGATGGTGTAGTTCGTTACGATAAAAAACAAGTTTACTAACTAAAACTGTGCGCTTCTTTTGTTGATACGGAGCGATAAGATTCTGGATTAAACTACAACCCGTGAACAGTTTGAAGACGATTAATTATTCCAATCGAAAGAATCAACTCATTGGAGTTTCCATACACATGCAAGTCGGACTCCAAACTTGAAAATTGGCATCACTCTCTGAACGCATTTACACAATTAGGTGTATTTTGCTAATAATGTAAACTGTTTGAATAGTCCCTTGTTGCTAAACTTACATCCATCAAGTTCTGGAATAAGTCTACATCACATCATCACACTTTTAAAGTATTCCACCTCTGCGCATTTATAGACATCCCTGTTAAATAAATAGATATGTTTATTGGTTTAATTTTTCTGTAACTACAATTAAATACAATTGTTGCTTAACTAGGAGTTGGAAAATCAGTACTTGCAAAAATATTCGAGATTTATTTTTTGTTCCTCCATCACTCTACAAGACGTTATAGTTCGTTCAAACTAATGGCCGGTTTTTCATGGTATATCCGTGTTAACTCTACCTCACAGGGCGTTTACTGATTACATAGAAATGTCTACCCACCATTTATTCTAATGTCGACTTAAACATGAGTAAAAGTGTTCAGATCGCCTTTAGTACAAGATTTAGATATTGTAGGAATTTCTGGAAAATTTCTTTGGTCCGTATTCGAAAAACTAGTGTTAACGCCACCATTTGGAATTACTGGTCTAGCAAAAGCGCTGTACCGAGGAAAATTTCTTATAAAATGCGCTTTTCCGTCTTCAGAGGATCGTCGTCTATCAGTGAGTCTTGACGATACTGTTGAAATTAGTGATGTTCGCCGTAGCAACGGTACTATTGGCAACCGTCGTCGGCTATTGGCTTTGCAACCGTCACCGTTTGGCTTTGATATCTCGTTAAAATTGATTATGCTTAACGCTCGCAGAAAATCGGAAAGCGAGTTATCTGGCGGCTTTGACGCATGCGCTACTAACGTCTGATCGTCTAACTGACCTTCGGAATCAACGTCAAGCTTTTCCGATACAAAAGATGAACGTATTCTCCTTCTCAATTTGGAAAATAGCGATTCTGGTTCATGTCCAACTGTTACTCTGCGATTATGTGTTTCGCCACACTTTCCCATTGCATCTTCTTGTCGAGCTTGATCTTTTGTTTTATGAAAGGCTTCACAATCATTAACACCAGTACCACTTGAGCCAATGCTGTCAGCTGTTTCAACGGACCCCTTAAAATCCGATAAAGCGTTCACAACTTTTTCTAGTAATTCGCTGTGTTGAATATTGATGTTACTTTCCAGTGTTTTAATTCTTTCAATTCTTTGAATGTGAGTTTCGCTCATTTCATCCTCTATTGTAATAAGCGGGTATAATACTGACGTCGCTCGTCTCTTCCCATTTCTCTCAACAAATTGCCTCAAATCTGGACAGCTTTGAGTTCTACTGTGCTTGGCTAGTACATTTACGCGCCTCTCCCTGTACACAGGCGATATGGACGATTGAGTAGAAATGAGATCGTCTAGAATATAGCGAAGCTCTTTTCGAATTTTTTTATTCGTCTTCTTAATGTTATTAGTCAATTTTTGTTCTAGGTTAAACATCTTTTCACTTTGAAGTCCTTTGGTGATAAAGCCAAAGACCATTGCCACGTATCCAAGCCCGATGATAATCCATATTAGTAGAAAGCTGTTGTACAGCACGTGGACTACGTCGTTGTCGGATCTGAATACACCTGAAACATGAATCTATACATACATGTACGCACAGTAAAATGTCTGGCTTAAATGTATTAGATACTATTTGGTCCACATATTCTTAGATATTAAATGAAAGCAGGTGTGCTGGTGGTATTTGTGCTAGCCACAGCAAAAATAGACATTTTAAAAAAATTCCTCGTATTATAGAAATTACGTACCAGGTACTACCTGTCCCACTCCAATAGTAGTAAGTGTACCAAATGCAAATTCCACGGCTTTGTCGAAGCTCCAACCTTCGTACAGGACAATGACTATAGAAGGCACGATGATGAGGAAGGCAAATCCAGGACATGAATATAACACGATTTTTCCTACCATTCCTAGAGTATGGTACGGGCGCGTATTTTCTTTATTCCTCCATCGCTTGTAAATATTTGTAAACTGCAAAATAAATAAATTATAAGCAATGGTATTAAAAATAAATCTTATGGGATGAGATTGCATTTGTTGATAAGTGCCGTACTGGGTGTCGGGTTGTGCCTCTATCACTTTGTCAACCAAATAATCTTATTCAAATCGAACGAATCTGGGCAATGGTTGATTATTCCTATATTAAATTAACCATAACCACTCGCTATTATTAATACTGGCCCAAAAGAGTCCAACTGGTATAGGTGACAAGCCGAATAGAAAAGGAAAACAAAGTACTTAACTTGAAAATAGGAGTCCATATGATTTGGTTGAATAGATTAAATTGGACAACATTCTGTGACGAGTTAGACGCTTCCAGTAATTGAATTGGGTGAGTGAAAGCAGTGGATATGTAACACCCAAAATAGTCCAGGCGCTAATATAAGTATTAAGCATGCACTGGAAGTCTAACGCAGTTTGACTTTTGATTATTGTTGGGGGCATATAGTAGATGAAAAATATCGATGTCGTCGCATTTCCGCGGGGGGCATAACATGAGGGGGAGCGAGGGGGCAAAGTCGCGCGCGTGGCGATTCACTTTATCGCTTCTAACTCAAAGACGGTAATAATAGTTAGAACAATGCTTGAAGCGGATATTTACAGCTACTTATATTGGTTACTAAAAATGTCCTAAGGATAAAAGTCGTACTTCTAACCGTTTCGATACAAATAAATTATTTCGGAATATATCCAACTCCACAGAAAATCATATTTGTCTCATATTTCTTGTATCTGTAAGACAATTTTAACAGTGTCGTTTATGTTATAAGAGTAATTATAAAAGTACATAAGTATTGTAATCATATTTTAATTGGCATAATGTAAGAATTAAATTTAAATCTTCAAAAGATTGACCGATCACTAAATATGTTTAAGTAATAGAGTCAAACGTTATTCCGCAGAAATTACTTCTCACATAATGGCATCAGTTTTGGTAATGTCCGCTCGAATTAGTTCCAACATTAAATGTCTGCATATCTATCGGGAAGTAATTTTGGTAATCTTCAGAGTGATGAATGATGATTCATCAATTTTTGATGTATCTACACCTGGCGTATTCCGAACAATTTATGAACGTAAAGGGTAAAAATAGTACTCATGCAATGCTCGTCAGCTTTGATGTTATGCAAATCTCGAAGCAGTTCAGCCCTGCAAATGCAAAAACTGCTCCAAAAAACATGTACCTGTTTATCAAATAATTCTTCTTATTGTTCTTATTGCAAATGTGTTGATAAATGCAGAAACCCATTACAAACTAAAGAGTCTGACCCAAGTACGTGCTGGAAAATTGTAAAATTGACTGTATAAAACCATATATATTTATGTAATAACATACGTTATTAAATTTATCTAATATAAGAAATGTGCGTCAAATATGATTTTCGATCGAATTTAGATATATTTTAAAATAATTTATTTGTAACAAAACGGTTAGAGGTACGACTTTTATCCTTAGGACCTTTTTTGTAGGCAATATAAGTAGCTGTAAATAGCCGCTTCAAGCATTGCTCTAACTATTACCGTCTTTGAGTTAGAAACGATAAAGTGAATCGCCACACGCGCTACTTTGCCCCCTCTTCCTCAAGTGATGCCCACCGCGGAAATGCGACGACATCGATTTTTTTCATCTACTATATGCTCCCAACAATAATCAAAAGTCAACCTGCGTTAGACTTTCAATGCATGCTCAAACCCTTTAGCGCCCGGCCTAAAAGGGCGGAGTGCCAATTTTCGTTTGATCGTTATTAAGTTCCATTTCTAAACGTCGCTTTTCATCTGGATGTACTACATAGATAAGATTTTCATGTTAACACTGAGATAAACTAAAAATTGAAAGTGAAGTTTTGATAGTATCTGTGGAAAGAACAACTTTTCTTTCTAGTGAGTTGTTCGATATTTATGTTGGTAACATCTGCGTTGAATGTTTCTGTGATTGGAACCGATCAGCGCCTGCTTTATCAAACCAGGTGTCAAATTCTTGACAGAATAGCTTCCTAGCTGAAACCAAAAATTGCCAACATATGTACGCACTGCTTTTATTAGAGGGACCTACCATCCAAATTTCGTTAAAATTGCTCCTTAAATAAGAAAGTTGGATGTTGCACATGCGCAACACTATTTTTTGCGTATGCATTTTGTTAGCTTTTATTAAAAGGACCTACCATCTAAATTTCGTTAGAATTGTTCCATAAATAAGAAAGTTGCATTTCTGCGCATGCGCAACACGATTTTTGCGCATGAATTTTGTTTGCTTTTATTAAAGGGACTTACCATAGAAATTTCGTTTAAATTGCTTCAGAAACAAGATCGTTGCGTTTTGCACACATGCAACACAATTTTTTGACTTTGACAATTTTTTTCTCCGTTTTTTGGTAATATAACCCGGCCCAATTTTTTGTAGGTTGTACACAGGAAAATAAGGTCTTCCAAATAATAGAATAAAAATTTTAGGTTGCTATTTGAAAAAAAAAGTTCGATGCCGTTACGGCGCTCCAAAATTTTTTTTCAAAAATCCGGCCCGTTATTTTTCTGTTCGGTATGCCTAAAACATACAGGGTGATTCCTATAGTACCTGCCACCGTTTGGGAGCGTGTAGGTGGTGCGTAGGGGAGTATTTTGATATAGGACACTTGGGGTCGGAAATCCAAAATAAGGGTGCCAGAGCCAAATTTACCTTCTGGAATTTCGCGCCTGTAGGTAGGCAACCCAACCGGCCGGCGGTGCACACGGAGCGATCTCAGGCGGCGATGTGTGGCTGACACTTGATCAGAATTTTGTTTAAACCCACGAAATCCCGTCTGCAACGACGCGTATCAAGTGAATAAACACTATGGCACGTTTTACTAACACGGAATACGCGGACATGCACTTCATGTACGGATTGGCAAATGGTAACGCACGAGCTGCACGACGAGCGTACGCTGAGCGGTATCCAAACCGTCAGTTACCCTGCAGACAGGTCTTTCAAGAAGTTCACTTCCGACTGTGCGAGACAGGGCAATTGCAGGTAAGCTGACGGAGGCTTAACTTTACACACAGATTCGTGATGCACATCGATACTTGGGTCATTTAAGCACCCATTTCAAGTGTCAGCCACACATCGCCGCCTGAGATCGCTCCGGGTGCACCGCCGGCCGGTTGGGTTGCCTACCTACAGGCGCGAAATTCCAGAAGGTAAATTTGGCTCTGGCACCCTTATTTTAGATTTCCGACCCCAAGTGTCCTATATCAAAATACTCCCCTACGCACCACCTACACGCTCCCAAACGGTGGCAGGTACTATAGGAATCACCCTGTATACAAAATGTCAACAAAATCCGTCGAGCCGTTTTCTCAGAAAATTGCCAATTGCCAACAAACGTACGTACATACAGACGGAAAAAAATTTTATTCTTTAAAAGTTGCTTAAAATGGTCCAAAACGTCGACATTTGATGAAATTTTGAAATGTTCAAAAAACGGCTATCGCAATAGCTACCTAGCACATGCTAGGAAGCTAAAAATTAGGCCAGTTACTTGTTACGTTATTTACACACGGAGTAAGATCGCACTTTATGATTCAACTATTTGGATTTTTCACATGATACCAGTAAAAACCAGATAATCGGAACATTAATTTTAATAGTTATTTATGCAATGAGTGTTATGGTGAGTGAGATGTTTAAATTCGAACGAACCAATAATCGCCGATTTATACATGAATTGCATACAACGTTTTTTCGTCGACTTCACTGGGGTAGGTAATTTTAAATTCAACTACAAGAAATTACAAACGAAATTATGAGCTCCGACGATTTTTCACTAAATTACAGCTATTGTCGTTGCTATAGTAATGTGTTGTTTTATGCTGTCCCGTCAGTCCTCGTAATCGCAGTGGAAGATTATGTTGCTTGCTCTGCTGCGGAGACGATTTTAACATTATATCCACTCAAATCAAAAGAAACTTATTGGAACGGTTTCGATCAGTTCGGCAATTGATGGAATACAATGAATTTGAAAGGAGATATTTCCGAAAATGTCACGTTGACATTTTACCTTGAAAAGGTATGTGAAATTAGAATGTAATTAATTCTTTTGCAACTGTACTAAAGTACGTGTATTAACAGTGAAAGATATGGAAATGTTCATCCCTGTGGTCGACGTACTCAATGTTGAAGGTAAAGTAACTAAATACCTTAACAATACCTTATCCGAGGAGCTACACATACATACATCAGGATATGCTTTGCTGAGATCGTTTGGCGACCATACTGGCTGCTGATCTCGCTACATTAAAACCGAGATTAAAATGGTTAGGTGGATGGAAGTCCTCAGCTGTTGCCGAAAGTGAATTGTTATATAATTGTCATTTCCCTTTAATAAAATGGTTGTTATGTATAAGTGGTTGCTAACGATTAATGGTTGCTAACGTATAATGGTTGGTTGCTAACCATTAATGGTTGCTAACGATTAACAAGCTTCATCATTGTACTAGTCACTAAGGAGTAATTTATATTGTTATCGAGAGGTCGACGAAAAAATAAGTTTAAAATGTTCCACATGCAGCCTAAACGCTTCAAAGGAGCTAATTGTTTTTTTTCTCGTTGTACGTCTATTAACTTTCCAAGAAATTAGGTGTTTTTGTCTAAAAAGTAATGGATGGTTCATATTTAACTGAAATACAATTTAAAAGAAATACGTTTCTTGCCTTTCTTCGCCTATCAAATACTAGGAAGTAAAATGGGATAGTGATTTATGTCCTGAATCAAAGATCATACTACACTAGATAGCCAGCGTATATGCAAGAGTTGTTTCGCGTTTAAGTAGTTCCATAAAAATATTTATAGGGGGCTTTCAAAGTTAAGAACGTAACTGATTCATCCGAAGCCGTCTTCGTACGAGTTCGAATCATATCATAAATACAAAGAGTGATTATTGTCTAAACACGAGACACATAAACATGACCTACTGAACACTCCTCACTATCATTGGGATAAAATTACATTTGTAAGTGGGCGTCATTCAAGACGAGGTAGATTCTATTACAGTCAGGACGTTACAATGAAAGAAATAATTTGAAAGTTGTACACAATATTCCCTTTGCTTTTTTTTAACCAGCGCTAACCAATACATTTTCCAGATTTTCGGGTTAAATTAATAATTGCAAAAGCGTTTTTGTTCTTAGCATAATTTCTGAAAACTTTTAGTTTCACGTATCTACGATACTTTAGCAAATCTTCAAATATAATATCACAGATTTAAATATACTATAAATCTGTGATAATATGCACCTACTTATCCAGGCATATTTACATTGTAACCACACATTTATCTAATTTAGATTTGTTGTAATTAAGCATTTTATGATTGGGATAAACGAGATATCCCGCTTAGCCTCCTACATAATAAAATTGTGTCCAGCTAAAGTGAGTCGGAACTAGAAGCGTCTGTGGTTAAAATTTCAAAGAAATATCTCCATAAGTATGAAAGTTGGCATTGCACAGTCTGCGCAAAATATGGAAAATACGAAACTGATCGAAATGGGCAAATATAGACCATAACGGCTATCAATTAGCGTAAACCCGAAGTCTCTAGGTGGCCCAGGGGCCGAGATCTCGATGGAACGGATGGACGGACAGACGGAAACACGAGCACATAAGCTTTACCTCACTTCGTTGTGTTACGATAAAAAATTTAATTTAAAACAAGATGTGAATATTCGGTATTTTAATTTACAGTAAGGTAACCAGATAAAAACATCTATAACACCCACACAAGGTTGCGCTTAAGAATGACACCGATATCCCATACAATAGCCCTTTATTCTAAAAATAACTGTGCTTTGCCATTTCGCGCGTCTTCTTACCCCGCCAGGTAGTTTGTACTATTCTCATAAAAACATAGCCGCTGGAGGACGCAGTCGACTTATTTGGCGGGACGAATTATGAGAGTCTAAAATTTATACAGCGCTGTCTATCTAGTGTAGTATGATCTTTGCCTGAATGAAAGATTGCAAAAGCTGTGATTGCAGTGCTTTTACATAGATTAAAGAATTGTTTTTATTAACTTTGCTAATTAAAAATTGTTTTTTAATCTATGGCTTTTATCATTTAAGATTGGGGAAAACCAATCATGACTGGTGGTATTGTCTGCGCCGTCTATACTTGGGTATGACTCATCGATGTATATCGTAATAATAAACTTACTGTTCACTTTGTCTCTTATAGTCTGACACATACTGCAGCTTATTAGAAAAGGATGGCAATTCGCAACTTGAGTCTGCTGTGCAATTCATATTGCCGGTCCAAAACGTACGTCTTGCATTTGCATTAATCTTTTGTCTGTCATTTGACACCTGGTTATTCCCTATTTTTACGTTTTTACGATAAATACATCAAGAAACGGTTTCCTTTTCTTAAAAAACTTCTGGTCATTTGCGGAGCGTTTTATTGGTAATATACAATTGTTGTGAAATTAAAATTTTTTGTTTATCCATATACTGATATACACTTGCTTAAAATATTGTCATTTTTACATGTGCATATAATTATAGGACACTGGTTAAGTAAAATGTCACTACACTGCTTTTCCTGTTCTAAAGCTTCAAATTCAATATGTATTTGAGATTAACACGAATTGCCAGTATCCCATCTGAAATATAATGTAATAATTAATACCTAAGGTTAGGATATCTTGTTTTTCTACTCATATTAAATAATAGGTAGAATACTGATGCGTTTTTAATTGAGAAAGTTATCTATTATTCAATATGTTTTCATTATTCAACTGTTGTCAGCCAATCGTATTCCGAGTTTGTCATTACTCTTCAGGTCACATTGTAGGTTGCCTTGGAAACATGTGTGTAGCAAAAATCAAGATCTCGGATCGCGATCAATTCAGGTGTCAAACATTAATGTCAATCAAACAAATTACGAGAAATCAGTTTTGTGAAAATTACGTGAAAATGGACAGTAGTGTAATCTTGATAAGCAGTGACGACGATATAATTCTAACTCCGCCGGATTTTAGGTACATTGCTAATTTTGTCAATTGTTTGATGACATAATACGTTTACCATTATGCATAATGTTATTATTACTGTAATTATTGAATACAAGTAGAAAAAGTATAGTATTTAACTCGTGAGAAAGGCATTATTCACTCAGATAAATTGCGCCACTCGTCTTCGACTCGTGGCGCAAATCTTATCTTCGTGAATAATTGCCAACTTTCTCACTCGTTGAATAATATACTATTACGTACGCAAGGCGCAGGTTATGTTACAATCAGCGCGCACACGTAGATAATTATAACATTTCTTCTACTTTGATAATTCACCACCACACAAGTCAAATTATTACTCTTCTTAAATGAAAATAATTTGACAGATTACAGTGGAGACATCTACCGGTGCGCATTAACAACACGTCGATTAGCCGTCGACTGACGTCGCCTGAATATTAAACCACTTGATTTTAAAAATAAGCCATGCCCAAGTATACGTGGCCCCGACTATATACCAGTTTCATAATTTGTTGGCGTTAGGGATATGATGCTTATTTGTGTCCCAATTTTGAATAAAAATCCAATCTCTCGATGTAAAACCATTACACCGTTTAGCAGAAAAATGGATTTTGTAGAAGGGCCTTCTATAACCTTAGAGGTCCGGTGCTCTACAAATGGATTATGTTTGTAAACTTTCTCCCACTAAAAAACACACTTTACTTCTTTAAAAGGAAGAGAAGGTGGTCATTCTGATCCCTAGCGAGTAAAGTTTTGGTTTGTATCATCTGCGAAAAACGTGAAATTTTATTAATTGGGGTAATCGGACAATTATTTTTCGGACATAGAAACAACATCCATTTTCGAAACAAAGAACCGGTGGGGTTTTGGGGAAAAACTATCAATTGTGCAACGCAAATTAAATCGTGTGAAAAAACTTCCCATTTCGACACGTGCTAATTATCATCATATTGTACAATATTTACCGACCTAAAAAAAATACTCTAACGTGGACTTAGTAAATAAGAGGACTATTCGATCAAGGGATTACGTGTTATAAACATCCGCTTAGACCGCTCGGTGTGAAATTCAATATTCGTCAATTAATTTCATCATTGGAGTCTACCATATTCTGCATTCCGTATAATTTTGTAGATCAAAACGCTATCTACCGCTACCAGTTGGAAATAAGAAACTCATTTTACTCGAATAAAAATTAGAGGCCAAACCCGGATTTCCAAAGTTGGACAACTAAAGGATTTCAAAAACGTCTCACAAATATATAATGGTTATTTTATATTCAGTATAGATCGTATCCTTCAAGGATTTCCATTAGTGACATTCTGTCATTTCGGTATTTAGAAGTAGAGAACCACCATTGTTTTCGTAAAATTTTTGAAATTGGGGATTTTAATTAAATCTGCAAGAAGTAGAAGGTTGAAATCGAAAGCTGATCAAAATTTTAATATATATAACCAAATTTTAATTCTGTGTAATTATTTATCATCAAGGTGGTTAAAGGCGGAAGCGATCAGATTTTAAATTAGCAGGTGGAAAACCAAAGAAGATCAAATTTACTGAGTAAAGGGGGCCAGGATAAGTTATTAAAGAGAGCTAACCGTGGATTAACTAAAACTAAAAAAATGTGTAATATACTTACGGTCGTTCCAAAGTAACTTCCCAGAGTAATTATCACAATGCCATTAATGGGTATCCCCACAACTCCGTAGATAATCATAAACACGCGCGTGAAAGTTGTTGTTGGTGATAAATTTCCGTATCCTAAAATGAGCAACGTTACACGCGTGTCTACCCTGTAGGAGCTTATAAACCATTTTACCGATTGTGGATAGTATGGTTAAAACAAAAAAGACAGAATGATAAAAGGTCCATTCCAATTTTGCTGTCGACGAATCGTGAGGGGTATCACCAACGGGCTTTTTGCAATAGTTACCAATCTTGTAAAACAGCTCTTCCTGTAGTTGAGGCGGATACTTCGCTCGGATTAAATCTAAATGCGAGAACGGATTACTATAGTCCTCGTTGAAGTTAATTTGAACTAATACCGTTAATTTCCTGCTTCTGCTTTTCTTCCGCCGATGCTCGTTGCGCTTCTTCCACGGATTCGATGAAGTAAAACACGGAAGCACCAAACAACGCGTAACCCACAAATACACACAAGAACGCTATCCATTGTCTTTTGCTCAACATAATTTTCAGCGTATTACGATCTGGCTTTCATCAAAATTTACCTCCGAGATATGACAAGTTGTAAACACGAAAACATTGAAATAGTAACTATCGATATTGCAATAATTGCATGTATGGTAAGGACAATAAAATCAATGGCAAACCAACCTGAACTACTATTGCGATTTTTATTGTACAGCGACAGCTGTTCGAAAGAAAATGGTTACAATTGATAGTACCTACTACTGAACCATATCTAAAATAGTAGATTACAAATAGTTATCACAAAAATCATCTAGTGCCAAATAGATACGATAACAGATTTACCAATGAGTAACGCGGCGATTACAAATTTTGCAAAAATGCCTCAAGTACAGATCGTCAAGGATTATTGCATCGATTAGTTTGGAATTTTAATTAAAAAAATCACGATAAGCCATGCTGACCTACTGTACTGATTATTGATGTGTTATTAATTTCTCTAGAGCTACAATTAAGGTAAAGCGTTTGCATACCGCATACCAATTTTGTATAACTTTTATTTTATTTCTACACATTCACATCTGTTTCATTTCCTGTTGGCGACAGTCAATTCTGACAGTTGGTCATTTCCAAAATAGACAAATGTAAAAATTCGGAATTGAATAAATTAAATATTTTGTAGTTGTGAAGAATTCTTTTCATTGATCCGGTAGAATACCTCTGAAACAATTTCGTAACAAATCACATCCCTATAATGAATAGCGACTTTGTTTACTTAACAATCTGTGCATTAAGTTTTTGAAAATTGTTTTCGTGTAGACGGACAGATAAATCAATAAACAATTTTATCATCATTGGCGGGGTATACCGATATTAACAAGTGTTTACGTCTATTGTTCAAGATTCGTAAACAGTATGACTTGATAGCGGCGATTCGGTATATCAATACAATGCTTCTATATTGCGTTTTATCGTGGATATTCATTGATATCTGTGTCAGAATCGATATCCGGTTCATGTCAATAGTTTGAGGTTATCACTTTTCTACCTCTATGCATTTGTTTCTGTGATCGTATTTTAAATGATGCATTTGTATAGACTTTATTTTGAGCATTTTAGGAATGTGCGTCCATCCGTGACGGATTAATAGAATTAAGGTGGGTGGGGGCGGAAGCCCAACACCGAGGGGTGTTTCTAGGAGCCCTCTCCCTCTATTCGTCACTGGCATCAATAGAGCCTCTCATCTCTTATGGAACCATATTCACGGCACTCGGAAGTAGGTACGCGCTGGAACGGATCTTACAAATGTACCTTTTGTCCTACTTCTTCTGGTTAATTAAATAGGGGGTGGCCGGTGGGTCTTGTTGTGTAATTATATTGGTATGCCTCGGATGCTCGTCGGTTGATATAATCCTCAGCTGGCGTCAAGGATAAGGGTAAACGGTTAAATAATAACGCAAAATCATAGTTCGCATTGATAGAAAATATAGGAAATATTCAAATTTTATTTATAAACGTATATGAAATCAAGTTAATGTTAACTGAATAAAAAAAAGTCAGGTGCTAAAAGGAAATTACTTACGTATATTCTTACAAATACTATATACAATAAAAAAGCAAATTGCAATACGTAAATATCTTAAGAAATGTCCAGGCACTCGTCGAAAATTTTACAAGCAAATGGTGTCAGAAAACACCGACTGAATGTCAAGTAGGTATAGTTAAAATTGTCTTTACATTAATATATTAATTGTTGATATTAGTACAGTAAAATAACCTCTGAAATGCGGCAAAAAAAAATATCTCAGTATAACTAAATGAGATATATATCATCTTTTAGGGAATTTTAAGCCCTATTCCAATTAAATAATTACAACTTTTTTTAATAGGGCACATTTTTGTAAATTAGCAAAATGTAACGTTTTGGAGGCGAGTCAATATTCACGTTTTCATTGATTTAACTCCCTTTATAAATTTTATTAATTGAGCTATAGCTTTCAAATTTTCAAAGTTTATAGAAGAAAGTACAGCGCACATGATAGCAATTCAATTTTTTCCGTATCGCTAACAGTTTTTGTTTAAATAATTGATACACCACGGCACCGACAAACTGTGTATTGAAAATTTCGACATGCGAGCAACTTGTTTAAATAATAAAAGTACGTAGCTATATATATCGTACCAAATGACGTTGAAACATTGGAAAAGTTTTTAGAAAAAGAATTAGGTGAATACCTTTTATGGTTTTCGAAATGTGATAGATTAAAGGTTGACGCGGTGCGGTGTTGGCGCGCTTATTTAATGCTTCTACACAGATGCAGCGAGGTAGTCATGGCGTACTCGTATTATAATTTGAAATTTTGCATTTGATAATATTACCACAGATACACAGTATTTTATCTGTGATATTACTTACATATTTTAATTAACAAAATTTTATTTTTATTTATATTTCTAAATTTTCTTCGTCATCAATTTGTTGTTCACTTTTTTGCATCAACTGATTGTTACAATTGCTGCTATTACATTTACAGTCCAAACAGCATTTGACTCCTTCTTTTAAACAAACACATTTATTGTTGTCGCACTTTCTATCGGCACAAAAAATTGTAAGTAGACCCCTAACGTTGTCTGGAATTGGGGGTTTTTCTGTATGGACTGGTTCCCAAGTGCCATTTTGATTTGTCCATCCATATTCAGTAGGATCCATTTCCGGTATATGGCATAAATGACTATTCGTCCAAATCTTCAATTGATATATACACCTAAACAAAATTAATAATGTCAGGAAAAATCTCGAGAAAAATAAATATGAAAAAGTGTTCACCTACCTCAGTACGTGCATCTTAAATGCATCATCTGTAGGAGATAGTTGAGAGGCACACTTATTTGAAGACATTGTCTGTTTATATCTTAGATCATTCAATGATTTAATTTTTAAATCTTTTATTTCGGAAAAGATGTTAAGCACATTTCGTTGCAATGTCAATAGCTTCTGGTACTGTTACATTTGAAATTTTTTGAAGTTCCTTAAAAGATTCATAACCTTTGTTTGCAGTGTCAAATGCCATTCTCTTGCCAATTCTAAAAAATGCGCTTGTTGTATTACAGCCTGTTAATGCGTGAAGCGACAATAACGTTTTTGATAGATCTTCTCCAATATTATTAACAATATCCGTAATAGAAATTCATCTTTTTTTGTTTTATGTGTCCTAATTCTATGAATAAACGTTCCAATCATCCCGAAGCCGATACTAGAATAATACTCCATATCTTACACGATTTTAACATTTGTAAAAACGAGAATGTTTTAATCAGATCAGTGGATACAGACGTATTCCTTCTGTTGATATACTTCTACGTACAAATTGATAACAGCGTAAACAAACGTTTATTCATAGAATTAGGACACATAAACAAAAAAAGATTAATTTCTATTACGGATATTGTTAATAATATTGGAGAAGATCTATAAAAAACGTTATTGTCGCTTCACGCATTAACAGGCTGTAATACAACAAGCGCATTTTTTAGAATTGGCAAGAGAATGGCATTTGACACTGCAAACAAAGGTTATGAATCTTTTAAGGAACTTCAAAAAATTTCAAATGTAACAGTACCAGAAGCTATTGACATTGCAACGAAATGTGCTTTACATCTTTTCCGAAATAAAGATTTAAAAATTAAATCATTGAATGATCTAAGATATAAACAGACAATGTCTTCAAATAAGTGTGCCTCTCAACTATCTCCTACAGATGATGCATTTAAGATGCACGTACTGAGGTAGGTGAACACTTTTTCATATTTATTTTTCTCGAGATTTTTCCTGACATTATTAATTTTGTTTAGGTGTATATATCAATTGAAGATTTGGACGAATAGTCATTTATGCCATATACCGGAAATGGATCCTACTGAATATGGATGGACAAATCAAAATGGCACTTGGGAAACAGTCCATACAGAAAAACCCCCAATTCCAGACAACGTTAGGGGTCTACTTACAATTTTTTGTGCCGATAGAAAGTGCGACAACAATAAATGTGTTTGTTTAAAAGAAGGAGTCAAATGCTGTTTGGACTGTAAATGTAATAGCAGCAATTGTAACAATCAGTTGATGCAAAAAAGTGAACAACAAATTGATGACGAAGAAAATTTAGAAATATAAATAAAAATAAAATTTTGTTAATTAAAATATGTAAGTAATATTATCAAATGCAAAATTTCAAATTATAATACGAGTACGCCATGACTACCTCGCTGCATCTGTGTAGAAGCATTAAATAAGCGCGCCAACACCGCACCGCGTCAACCTTTAATCTATCACATTTCGAAAACCATAAAAGGTATTGACCTAATTCTTTTTCTAAAAACTTTTTCAATGTTTTAACGTTATTTGGTACGATATATATAGCTACGTACTTTTATTATTTAAACAAGTTGCTCGCATGTCGAAAATTTCAATACCCAATTTGTCGATGCCGTGGTTTATCAATTATTTAAACAAAAGCTGTTAGCGATACAGAAAAAATTGAATTGCTATCATGTGCGCTGTACTTTCTTCTATAAACTTTGAAAATTTGAAAGCTATAGCTCAATTAATAAAACTTATAAAGGGAGTTAAATCAATGAAAACGTGAATATTGACTCGCCTCCAAAACGTTACATTTTGCTAATTTACAAAAATGTGCCCTATTAAAAAAAGTTGTAACTATTTAATTCGGATAGGGCTTAAAATTCACTAAAAGATGATATACATCTCATTTAGTTATACTTCGGTAAAATTTTTCTCCTAAACTAAGCGAGATACGCGCTCGATTTTACTGCACTAAATGGCTACAACGCTATTTTATAATCTACAACGGGGCAAGCTACGATAAAAGGCAATACAACAACAGGGCACTACTACGAGGCAGGTACCTAATTGTTTATAAATACCTTGATTATTTATGCACTAAGATGCGCTTTTGTGGATGCTTCAATGTGAAATGGGTTTGGTCCCGGCTCCTTGATTTGAATCTAGTTAATAGCACACGGACCGACTGTAGAATTCGAGAATTCCTTGCCTCTGGTCCTGGTGGAACGGGTTGGATGGTTAGAGGGCGTAGGCTCGTTGAAATCTTTACGTCTTCGCTTTTCTCAAAAATGCTGCTGGAAATTTTGTTCGGGCTACAGCTCTATTGAGATGATACTTGGTTCTGGGTATAACCTCATTTTTATACGTCTTGCCTCAAAGACGATTCGCTTACGGCTCGACTCCGAAAGACAACTGGCGCAGGTTTGGCGACTGAGACCGTGAAAGAACTTTTTTCACACGATTTTCACTTACAGGTTGTATAGGCGTATGTTCTAAAAAACCGACAAGGACGCAGTGTTTTCTTTTAGTCGCGTTGCTGCATTGATTTCATCTCATACCCATCGGCTTTTGTTGGCGATCAAAGATACATTATACAAACTATATTTATACCCCTATACTGTAATTAATTTCCAGTTACCGCACTATGCCGAATTGTTTATATCTTAGCGCGATTTTAGCGTCGATTTTTATCGAACCCTACTCGCTTACATTTTATTACAATGACTCATTCTTTTACCTAATTTCAAATATACATACGTAAAGCAGTATTTATGATCCTATTCAACTTACATGTGAAATAAAATTGCATTTCTAACCGCGATTATTACTTCATATTGCTTATTCCTTTTAGCTTCCTCACGGTTAAATAATATACCAACTCGAGTGATAATAAATGAAACAATTATCATTTCCTTTCAATGCTAAAGTACCCAGACATTCGTACGCTCAAGGTGACGATACCCCCCCCCCTTTTATATTCTTAAAAAATGCCCTAAAAGTACACAATTTTGGTCATTTAAACGTGTAACTGCCAGTTTTCTACTAGGGGTTAGGTTGTATTTATAATGTATCTTCATCATCAAAAACTGTAAGTCAAATTCTTTACTCAATAAAATAAGCAACACGAAATAGATGATTTTCAAGTAATAGAACGCGCGAATGCACTACACACATTCTAAACGTCAAATTAATTAAAGTCTGTAAAATTGAAACTGGCGGTTGCCTCTGCTTTTTTACGTTTCGTGACAAAGACCATACGTCACCCGACATGCGAGTCGACATATCTTAATACCATCACTTCCAACTTGCGGGTATTAAAGAGAGATAACCTAGATATTCCCCAATGTATCTGGTGTCACTACTTCCAGGATTTGATTGGACCGTCCATGCGGAGTGCTAGTTTTGCTGTATAACCAGCTTACTCTTTGCTCACTGTATGGGTATTGACTAATACTCCATCGCCAACATTGTAATGTACCTACATAAATTTCGATTATGCTTGTCTTGGAACACGTGTCTGCGGTCTTGAGATTTTTCGTGATGACTTCGTGCTTCTGGAAGAGTCTCCATCAACGTCACTAAGGGCCAATTGCACCGTCGAAATTAAGTAATCTTATTCAATGGTATCCCTGTTAAGCATAACTTAATATACAATAGCAACGATTGTACTTATTAATAAACTAAACAAATATAGAAAACGAGCTCCTGGGTATGGCTATAGCATGTCCAAAACCAAATTTTAAACCTGATGTTAGTTTTGCTTTTATCAGTTTTATCTAAAGTGTATATGTATGAAATTTCATTTAATTGCTTGCATAAATAAGATAGTTGGCACAGCGAATGCGCAAATCGAAATTTTGAAACTGGCGTTAAATTTGCTTTTATTCAAAGTGCATATGTATCAAATTTCATTTAAATACATTCATAAATAAGAAAGTTTGCTAGCCGGTTTGTAAATTGTCGTGATGCGAAAAGGGCACTGTGAATGTTGATCGATTGGGCCCAATTTTTGGAATTGCGTTTTATATGGCTACAGCTGTGCGCATATTGAATGTCATGCAATTCGGATCATAACTCACGGAGATGTTACAAGGGCCTTCCTTATTTTTTGGGCTACAATCTACCGATCTACAAATTTGATAAAGAATCCACCTGCAAAATTTCATCGTAATCGGTCCATTCGTTTATGAGTTATCGTGCTAACGGACGGACAGACACCGCAAAATTATAAACTCGCTAGGGGCTCGTTAATAATCGTTGCCATAGATTTTCTTAATTTTGTTGGTGCAACTGGGGCTTAGTAGCGTGCTTAATGTCGGTCTCAAAAATTGATCGTAGATCTCGTCGCACGTGCTTAGGGTACGCAACTCACGTGCAAAGGTCAGATATGCAGGAGTATGTTGCGTAGATTCACAGTAAAAAAAAAAAACCTAATTGCGAGTATTTTGTTTTCGCAAGAGGTGTGATCTCGATCTGTAAGAATAACCAATTCCGAAATCGCGATTGCACCCCTTTATGTGATTGGACTCAGGGTGGTAAACTAGAATTACCTGTTGCATTACATTCCCAATAAATTGGACACCATTCCTGCTTACGACTTCTGGATAGCCATTTAGGGGAATAATCACTTTTATGAGCGTTTTGGCACAACTTTTTGCACTGACCTGTTTTAGAGCAAATAGCTCTATCATCTGCTGGCGTTATCTTCAACTACAAATATCCACTTTGGCAAACACCCATTTGGAGTTCATTAACCACTTCAACGGTTGATGATCTCTTGGATTATAGGTACCGATCCTTCCAACTAACCTCTAAGCTTCTTTACTGCCCAGACTACAGCTACAGCCTCACGTAATTTTGTTCAGCCGCATTCAACAATTGACTAGTGTATTCGACGGGTCTTTAATTTTTCTTCTCTCCGTACAGTGGACATGCGTCCACGGCGTAGTTGGTAGCATCATAGAGTAAACAACGTGTATCATTCATCTGCAACACGTATGGCAGGCTGGGGTCTGCTTGAGCTAGTATGGGCGCGGGTTCCATACCCACGTTGTATTCTTCTTAGTTAGGTTGGCGAGTGGTTTCGCTATTCAACGATAATATTAAAAAGATGTTCAAAGGATCATTTTGAAGGCGCTACTACATTTGATGATATTGACGTTGTACATCGTCACCAAAATGTTACCTATTGACACAAGATTCTTTTGCTGATTTCATTTTGTCATCACAATTGATTTAAAGCGATTTTTAATCACGACCTATATGTTTCAAGTATACGTAAATTCTGTTTTTCCGAGAGCATAGAAAATGGCATTTTTTTTAAAATTTCGTGCCAAAAATTATGTGCGTGGGAATGTGTCCCATGTTAATTATCGGTAATCGAAAGTCACTCGTAGTAAACCTATCGCTTAAGAATCGTCAAAGAGGAATGAGGAAATTGTCTTTTAAGCTATGCCCCTTTTAACTTTCGGGCTATATGGTGTCTCCTTTTCGATGCGCCATCCTATGATCGAGTGTTTGTTAGAGGAATTCTTTGAGGCTAACCTTTCTTCAACGTAACATTTTTTGCTTAGACCTTGTTTCTTGGTGAAAGGATCTTCGGGAGGCAGGGGAGTGTAGTTTGATTTTTAATACATGCGAATAATCTTACTTGTTCTCACACGTTCCCTACACTCACCCCGCCGAAATATATGGAGAAGATCAATTTTGCTCAATTCCTTGTATTCGTTGTATTTTATTTATCTGCCAACTTTTACTCAAGGATAGGAATGACCTACCGAAGATTACCTCAAAACCTACTGAATATGCTCCAAGCTGAAATAAATAAAATAATTTAAACGCTTATATTACTTAATTAATTAGGTACATTACATCAGTGCATTTTGTGCTAAACGGACATTGAACTAAAAGTATTTAACTAACAAAACTAAATCGTAATAAAATTAAGTATATATTAAAATAAATAACTTAAATAACAAAACCTATTTGATTTCGTTACAACAAAATAATAGTTCTATCACTCCAAACAAATCACGTCCAACACTAATCAGTAGGGAAAAAACATAACAAAGAAAAACAACTGGATAATTTAATAAATACAGAACAGTAAATAAAGCTTGATTCAGGAAACTAAAGCTTCTTCTTTTTCTATACCCTTAGATTCGATGGAATCCGTAGGATCTGATAAATTTAATGGCGGCGTAACGCAAACTCTTTGTTTCTCCAACAACGTAACGAATATGGAGATAATATTATTAATACCAATAAGATATCCGTCTTCGTGATTTCCAACCTTCCAACACGAATTGTGGTCAATTTTGATTTCGTTTGGTAACAGTAAGGATTTGGCAAAATCAATTAACCATACATTCGCGTTGTAGCGATCGTGCACGAAAAGCAGCGAACTTCCGATTATCTCGTGACTATTGAAAAATTCGGAATTCTCGAGGGTTGCTTTGATAGCTTGCAGTCTCTGGATGTATTTGGGCTAAAACAGAAACATGTTCGCGCCGGCTCTACATGGACAACAAGGGTACTTACAATGGAATGTGAGCATGTGTCGGTAAATTCACTAAACGCCTGGATCACCTGTTCTCTAGTTTTGGTCGTTTTGAAATCTTTACTGGAAGATCCGTCTGATTTTCTAATACCTTCGATTCTAAACCCTAACGTTGCAGTGGACGATATTGTTTCCCTCCACACCATATACCTAGGTTTCGTTACCGCTTTCAGTCTGTGCTCTTCTTCCGTTGGAGCGTTAGGATCAATTTGAATCATTTTTTCGTACATATCTTTTCTTAATTTTGGATTTTCTTTTGCTTTCGCTAATTCTTCTTCTAAATATGTCCTAACACCTATTTTACAATCCATTACGCATGGTGAATTGAAATCTCCTAATAAATCTTGAAGTTGAATATAAGAACAGTCGCCATCTTCGCTAGTTACTTGTCCTTTATATTCAGGAACATACGGCCGTAGTGCATCACTCATAAGGAGCTATAACAAAATTGATGTCTTTCCAAAGATCATACTACTAACTTACCTTAAAGCATTGTTCTTCCTTAGCGCTAAGTTTTTTGAGAATAGTGCCTTGGTCAGGTCCTGCCTTAAAGTTTCCTTGGTGTCCAGCCAACTGCACCCAAGGATACCGTTGCTTTTTGTATATTTGGAAGAACGGTGTCCATTGAACGATGCTTCTCAACTTTCGCCATCCCGATGGCTATAAATAAAAAAAAACATTGATTCAAAAAGGTCATTTGTGTAGATGATGTCAGCATAAGGGTGAGGAAAGGAAAATTACTTTGTGCGATATAACCCAGATAACGCTGGTAATTTTTAAGGAAACCGCGAACCGCACTCACCCCTGCCGATATACCATTCTCTGGCTTCTTGGAACTACCAAACATTCTACATTAATTTATCATTCTGTATAAACGCCTAACTAAATACTGGATTATTGAAAAATTGAGCGTGGCCGAGTTTAAAACAAACCGCAATCATAAAGTAATCTCGAAAATTAAACGACGATAATTAGCCACGGAACGGGATAAGGGATAAAAAATTGACGTCAATAGGTGGAGAAGGAAACATTTCTCTACTAGTTATTTCCGGAGAGAAACGGAAACATGGCAGGAAATTAGGAGTTGTTTACAAAAGCGGTACAGATATGCTATAAATTGAAATGAAATTAATTAATTTAATTACTGAATATTTTTGGAGAATTTTTCAATGTCGCTTTCATCTCAGATAAGTGTTTTTGACAGAGAGGCGGGGAAGAACCAAATGTTTGGTGGATCTCAGATCTCACCACAAACAATGTTAACATTAACGAAAAATGAATTTCAAGGTTCCGTGTACAATTTTAGAATTGTGGCGAAATCCTCTTTGTTACCGCTACCGTTTTCCTGGAGACCTGTTGTTCTTACGTGATTCATCATTTGGAGGTGCTGGCCATGGAAGATTCGGGATCAAAAATAAAAATTGTGCGTCAATCCCTATACAGGAAAGTTATTTAATAATATCTTTAGTAATCTACTGATTAATACCTACGGAACAATTAAAAGTGGCAAACTTTTTATTGGCTTTGAAACGTCATGTACGTTTGAGTATAAGTACTCTGACGCCTAGTCTGACGCTAGGAACTTTATGACTGAAAAAGTAAGAATGCTATTTGTCAGGATAGAAACAAATTAATTGCACTTGTACCAACGTGAAACTGCAAATTTTATCGATACAAATATGAAAAATGGCATTTACTTATTTATGACGTTTAAAATCCTATTCTAAAGAATTAGAATATCGTCAAATTTCGGTTCGTGGCATACGTAACCAATTTTTTTTATACAAAAATCGAAATACCACCAGCTGCACGTAACAATCTACACTGTGAATCATCAATTAAGTTTAATTGTTTTCCTAACGAAATGAGTGGCCCTGTACAGACCTTAACCTGCACCACAGTACCACAAATAATGATCAACGTAGTCACACGTTGAATATAAAGGTAGTATTATCTTCTTTGATAGTTAAAACAGTGTCTCATAACTCATAAGATAGTAAATGGGGTAGAGCGGGAGGGGGAGATCTCTCGACATAATACCTGTGTTTATAAGCGAAAAATGCAATGACAATACTTGAATTAACGTACGAGACAAAAAGTTACAAAATATATCCAACTATATAACGTGCATAATGGCTACCTACATGTTACTGTTGGTGTTGGTCAAGGTGCTGACCACGACTATTCCCAATTGTCCAGCAAGTGGTCTCAATCTGCAATTACACAGGGAGACGCAAAATAACAGGGGGCTATTTTTAGTTATGAACACGGCCTTTTTAAGTTCATACGAGGGTATAGCGCAAATTCGCAATTAGAATTGTCACTCGTTTAACACCATGTCAGAAATGGCAAAAATCGAGTATTTACCGAGTTGTAATTAAATTCCTTACTCCAGAAGGTGTTTCTCATCAAGATTTTAAAGATCAAGGTGTATGGGGAAAATTCACCGCCTGTAGTGAAAGATTGGAGAAAACGTTTCGAATGGTACGAGAATCCTGGAAAGATGACAGCAGAGCAGGAAGGACGATAAACTTAGTGCAAGGTGGATCCTCAAACAATTCTGGACAGTTCAGCACCAGCGTCGGATTGAGTGTGCTGGTTCCTTTTCGCAGCTCTGTGTAGAAATCCCTCTGAAAGTGTTGAAAAGAAGCCGATGGAATGGACAAGAAAAGGAGAAGCACCGCTAGTCAACAAGCATAAGGATGGCTACGATCTTTTGGGGTTGTGAAGGTATTCTTATTGAGTTTAAAGAAGGCAAGGCCACAGCAAGGCCACATAACTGTGGCCTATCATGCGACACTCCCAGACAAATTACGGCAGAATATTTGGGAGAAATCGACGTGGGAAATTGACCAGAGGCGTGTGCTTGCTGTATAGTCCACATATGGCGCCAAGTGACTATTACCTGTTTGGGAACTTATAAACGATATAAGAAGACATCATTTCAGTGAGGAGGAAGAGACGAAGAAAGCTGCAGTAAGAGGACAAAACGAAAGAATATTTTTTAGGGCCATTGAAGTGTTTATTAAGGCGATGTAATAAATGCATTAATGTGGTTATTGATTAATGTTAGTTTATGCCATTTCTTTCATAGTCAGGCGCTGCCATCGATGTTTTTATAATAAATGCTGAGAATTGGAGCAGACGTATACGAAAAAGGAGGACTGGCACAGTAAGGAGGCAGATGTAAAGGTCAGATATCGCAGTCCAATAAACAAGAAATTGAAATTGAAGAAAAATTCTAGAAGAAGAAGAGGCAGACTAGCTTATGCAATCATTAACATGGTTATAATGACCTACTTAACTGGCAGAATAAATTAACATTAAAAAAAACATGTTTATACAGCTGCTCAATAGAGGGCGCTTTTAAGTACACCTAAATAAAGTCACTCTCTCTAGAAAGTAGCGCCATTCGGCCGCCATTTTGATTCCAAAATTACACAGTTACAGTGATGTTACAATTCAGTCAAAAAATGGCATTGACAACCAAATATTTTTGGATTCTCTCAATTTTGTGAAGTGACCTACCGCGTTGTGATCACCTGCTTTTAAAAGGGGAGAGTAATATCATTGTTCAATTGTTTTACCTTGTGGCAATCTAAAGCCTTTTTCAGATCTATTTTTGCAATGTGATACACAACATCCAGGCATGTTTACTGTTTAGTAGCGAGAAAAACGTTGTAATTCCAAATAGTTTTTTCTCTGTCTAACACATTGTCCTTACCAATTACGCTACTTTGTCGAGATACAGTGACGTTACACCTAAATTACAGTGACTATCACCTAAAAAGCATTATGCGGGTCACTTTGTAATTGGGCGAAAGCCTGTTGAGGGCCCACAACAAGAGAGGGATGATAAATAAAAATAAATACATAAATAAATAAATCTGTTACCAATATAATGCATAAGGTTAGCAAACTGTTGTTTGTGTATATCTGTGCCTTTAATACCAATCGAAAAACCTGTTTTGCGGTTTTGGTTTATAATTGATAAACCGCTTATCTACTATAGAACGATACAGCATTAAACTCTGCGTCGATTGAACTTCCAACTAATCCGATTAATTTATACGGTCACAGTTGATGGATGAAGAATGTCAGTTTATTTTGAAAACCAACATTTTATTGAGTTTCAGACCCCTCTCCGCCTCAATCCCCCCAACTCCTGCGTTTTTCCCCTTTGGTTCCAATGTGAACTAATACCCGACTAATACCTAAGACCACAGAAGAAAACTTTTAAGTGCCTATACAGTAATTAATATAGGTTTACAGTTCTTAAGTAGTCAGGCAATTTTATAAAAGTAGTAACTAAAATGAAAAATTCAAAACATGACGAATGAAAAACACATTATTGAATCTGAAAAGCATTTTATTGGTGGTGAGGTTCCTTTTTTTGACGTTGAAGGGCCCTATTCAGTGTAAATGCATGAGTCAATCTCCTTAAAATCAGTCTTTTTCCAACAGAATTCAAGTTCGAGGTCCATCCTCTTCCAAATTAGCTGTGCCGCTGTACTGTCTGTCTTTTTAACTGGCGCGTTATGCTTTGGTGTGGCGAAAATGCGCGGTTTACGAAATAGAAGTGAAAAACCATTAGAAGAAGTTGTTTTTTTGTAAAAGAGGGCAAGTCGCATGGCAGAGCTTCGAGGACAATAAGACAAAAAGTGGATTTATCTACAAACCACGGAACCGGATTGCGCGGATTTTACGAAAACAAGAAGAACACCAGAGGTGTTAATTATACCTCCAATTCTGAAGAACAATATAAACCGTAAGTAATTCTTCGGAACTGCATTTTCCAAAAGCGAATTTGGATTTGGAAACTTGGATCGTGTTTCATTTTAAAGACAAAAATAAATGTTTGCTTCAGGAGTGTAATGAACTGTTTGACTTTGACTATACATTTAGAACTTGCTCAAAAATTGTTGGAGAAAATGACATTTGAAGTTCATCTAGATTTGTTTTTCAAACATAAGTAATTTAAAATTCCATTATAGTAATCACGAAAGTAATGAAATTTGGCCGACATGTTCATCCAATTACTTGCTAGAATGACCACAGATTTCTAACAACGCACTTGAAGGTAGTTATACATTACACAGTTGAAGTTGAAGGCAACAAACCGAATTAAAATATGTAAATTAAGTTCGATTAATATTACATACGGGACTTGTTTTTAATTTTGCACTTGTTTTGCACAAAAAGACCTTGAAGGTAATGTGAATAATATTTTAGTTTCTGACGAAATTTTGTTTGAACCAGTTCTGGGGATGGCTTATATTGGGCAAACGTGCGTATTGTTCGCAGAGAAATTCTCAACCTTCGCAATTTGCCATCAAATCAGAATAATCGTGGACCATTAGATTATGAATTTAAAAGACAATGAGGCTCACGCTGATGAGACCCATTGTTTTGCGATTGCTAAATACCATCGCGAATCTGTTTACAAGCACAAAGGGCAAAATCTAATGCAGTCGACAAGCAAAAAGCAAAATTCCTTGCAATTTTTGTATTCGATTCATAGTTTTGCGTAGGTAAATGAACATTCGAGTTTTTATTACGTAACACCCGTATCAACGTATAAAGTGTAGGTATTTAAAAAAGAGAGGTTATTTAGAGGCAATTTATTTTATAATCATTCCTAGTTTGACGCACACATATAA